TTTTTGTTTTTATTTTAACCTCCTAGGACCTGGCGCCCATATATGTGGACATCACGTTTTGGGTTATTTAGACCAAAATACTCAATTGTGCTCTACAGGGGCGCTGATATCCACTTACGAGGACATTATACTGCTACTGTTCTATCGAAATTTAAAATAAATATCCTTATATGTGGCTCTCATTTTTCTTAGAAACAAAAATCAGGTAAAAAAAACAAAACAAAACTGATAATTCTTTGTTTTTACATTCACCGGGTCCCAATGTGCCCAAATATCAAAGAGAAATTAAAAATGCATGCCGTGGAAGAGTTCGGGTCTTAGGAGGTTAAAGTTAAACCCAGATTGCTGGTGTTCTCTGTTAGATGGGTAAAGATCAGAATGATTTTTTTTCTTTCAGTATCTTTTTTCTGCATAAAGTCCTATGACAAAACTGTGAAGTTGCATTTTTATTATCTTGTCTGGAATTCTGATCCTTATACATGTCATTATGTGTGTGTATATTGTGTTGTGGCTGGTATTATTTTCGGCTCATTTGGATGCAGCAGCACTTTCTGTCTTGGTCTCCCTTTGAATTTGTTGTAGATGCCACTTGGCAGAGGCGGTACTGGATAATTTGCAATGCAGATGTTGTGTATTTTCTTGCATAAACACAGACACACAGTGCCTGCTGCTGAGTCACATGGCACAGTCCACCTTACCCTGAAGCTTTCTACCATTTACTGAGCTCCAGTGATGACCCATCACAGCTTCAAAAGTCAGGGAAAGAAAGAAGGCACCTTTAAAAGATATGTGAGAAACAATAAAGGCAATGTTAGAGAAGAAATGAGGCCACACTAAATGCTCAGTATCTCTGGCATATGCCTCTGCTCACTGACAGGCAGCTCAGTTGTTACGCAGTCCTCTGGTACATCCGGTCTTTTATTTTTGGTACTTTTTTAATAACCTCCTCTGTGGGCTCAAGCTGGTCCTGTTTGACAGGCATTCACCTGTCATGTCAAGGATTTGAATGCATGCTGTGCTTGTCCTAATTGTATCAGGGTTCAAGTGATATTCATTGTTTTTAAGCTAATGCTGAATACTCTTAAAAGGTTGATCAAGCAGGAGACCATGGGCTAGTTCTAACATGCTGGGTGATGTTAGCAAGATCTTGAGGATGTTCACCATGTGGCCATAACATGTTAGTGTGTTAATTAGCACTTCACATGATGCTGTCAGTTTTGCAAGTATTATGTCATCAACCAGAGGGGGTAGATCAGCGGTCCCCAACCCCCGGGCCTCAGACCGGTACCGGTCCGTGAGTCGTTTGGTACCGGGCCGCGAGAGTTGAGGCTCAGGTGTGAAATGTATGGTTTTCAGGGTTTTTATCGGTTTTCAGCGTTATTTTGTTATCGTTTTTATCGTTAACTCGGTTTTCCTGGGTCTTTTCACGTGTGTTATGAATAAATCTTCTTTTTTCGGTACCGGTACTAGTTTTATTTTGTTGTATTTATCCGCGACAACTTAAAAGCCGGTCCGTGACAATATTGTCGGGCATAAACCGGTCCGTGGCACAAAAAAGGTTGGAGACCGTTGGGTTAGATAATGTCGTCAGGTCAGAAGAGTGACTGCAGCACCATAGAGTAAAACTCTACGGTGCTGTTGTAGCTGTAAAAGCAGAGGTAATAATGAGAGTTCTTCTGGTGAACTGAACTAACATTTTTATATCATTTAATTTGTGCACTGTTCATGAATACAGTACCTTCATAGGCACAAATTGTACAATTTCATTGTTCCATTGTGACATCACCCATTGTGCTGTTGGACTCCTAATTTTGAAGCTTTAACGTTAGTTTTTGGTGTTACCATGTTGGTTATTTGAAGTCAGTATTTAGGATAAAAGCGATAACTTTAAGTTATCAGCTAATGCCAGTTAGCTTGGTTAGCAGGCTGCAATCATAAACTCGGTCCAATGCCAAAAAAAGTCTCACTGATTCATTATAGGGGAACCATTAATGTTGCCAACTGTCACAGCATTTCACTCAGAACATTTTATCCTGACTTTTCGATGTTGCAAATATGTAAAGTCTAGGAGATCGCCAGAGAAAACTCAAACCTTTAAAAATGCCTGTCACTATTGCAAATTAAGAACTCAGATGCAAGATGTTGCGATGTTTTGCCAAACATTCATTAAACTCTTAAGAAAAGTTAACTTAAGAAAATGTATTATTAAATTTCAGTTTTATTTATGTAACACTAAATCACAACAGCAACTGTCTCAATGTGCTTTATATTGTAAGGTAAAGACCCTATAATAATACAAATAAAACAGAGAAAAACCCAACAATCATATGACCACCTATGAGCAGGCACTTTGGTTACAGTGGGAAGGAAAAACTCCCTTTCAACAGAACGAAATCTCCAACAGAACTACGCTCAGGGAGCGGCGTCCGCGACTAGTTGGGCGTGAGTGTAGTGCTTTAATGGAGTGATGCAGTAATATGAGGTTTTTAAGATAAGATAGGACCTGATTATTCAAAACCCTATATGTGTACACGTAGTGTACACGTCCTGATAAAAAACAACTCCAAGATTCCTCACAGTGTTACCGGAGGCCCAGGTAATTCCATCCAGAGTAAAAGTTATTATGATAATGGCAGAATATTCCTCTCAAATCGTCTGGTGGTTCAGTTGTATTATAAACGCCTGGCTTAGTACCTAATGAGTAATTACTTAACCACTGAGGAAGTGGCCATTGTTTTATGGAGGCCCAAAACATGGAGAGGATCCAAAATCCTTACCATTACCCTAAGGTGACCCTACACCTGCTGAATAAAGAATGACCTCATTGTTTCTTTACACTGTGCATACATTGTTCAGTTATATCACGCAACTATTTTGTTTTGGCAGTAAGTATTGTTTATGGAGTCATGAAGCATCATTCAGAGAGTTAAGTCACGCTACACGTCGTCAGTCATTAAAAAGTGTTTATGCAAGTCAGGCAGGTAAAAGTTGCAGATCACCAACTAAATACATTTCATCTAAGTTGTCCTTAATTAGCAACATTGCTAGCTAAATGCTATGTTTACATTATTTATCCATTTATCTCTCTGTGCAGTACATTAGATCTGTCCCTATGTGTCTGTCTATAAAGCAGGTTTGAATCGACAGCAATAAAACCTTATTTGGATATTGTTTAGATATCAGGTCAGATTAACTGGGGGAGTTAAAGACAGTTTCCAAATATAACTGACAACAACTAAGTGTTAGTTTAATCTGCAGGAGCAGTTATAGAAAATATTCTGAACCTTTGCATCACCAACCTAAAAATATGTGGGGAACAATATAATGATATAATAATAAATACTGTTTTGTCAAACGTCATCTTTTATCACCGAACAGACTGAAAACCAGTTAGCTTATCATTGAGCTGTGAGAAGTTATTTTGGTGTGTACTGGAAAGACTGGGACACACCCAGTGACAGATTACCATTCAGAGGTGTCATTCTCTTAAACCTCCACATGCTTCTATTTATAACAGATAGCTGCAATACCTCAGAGAGGTGAGAAAGAGAGGGAGAGAGAGAGAGTCATATGACCTACTGCTCATTCCACAGATAGCGACGGGCAGCACGCTCTGTGCTTCCATGTGTAATTTCACCAGAGCTGCAGCGTGTTCAGAGGATGTGTCGCAACACAGTCAGTGTACTCTGAACAGATTTCTGGGATTTTGTCTGTAATTATTATCAGCAAAGGACGTAACAGTATATCGCATTTGGGCTGACAGCTGGAGGACAATGCCAGAGGAGAAAGGTAATAATGACCTTTAATATCCTTAAATGAGCCGTTTGTGATGCGTTCACCTGCCGGTACCAGAATTGATTGTATTTAATAATCACTTACCTTTTACAACCACTGGAATGCGGACTCATCACTCACATACTAAATACTATCGGGGTTTTTTTACTTTAATAACAGCAACTCAGACATTAGAACATAATTTTTAAGTTAGTTCTCGATACAGGGTGTTTGTGTAGGAATATATGTGCTTCTATTAAAATGAACTTTGAATACAACCAAGCCGCCCTCATGTTATGCAATCCTGGTCTGGAGCTTAGGGCACTTTCTCTTTGAATGTGAATGTGAACGACAACAAGCCTGTGGCAGCAAGCTGAATGCTTATACTGCAGGTTGATATGCAGCCTGCCTGCAACATCCCTGGCAACAACACTGTTGTTTTGGTCCATTTCCCGCATCTCAAGCTCTGGGACATTAGCCATTTGGGCTGCTTACAAAGGTCTGAGGGCAGGTTGCTAAGAAGAAATCCCTATAATAATTCCAATACGTATTTACAGTGTTTTTGGTATTATACCAAATTATGGAGTTGTCATCTTTTGTGTTGTTTTATGTTTTATTGTGTAAATCATCTACTAATATTCCCATGTCTCTATGATGACTTATAGTTTGCAGTGAGAGTTCAAAACAAGCTTATCTGCAAGTAGTATGATAAATTACACGTGTTTATATTAATAGTAGATTTGAATATATAAAGTTTAAAATTTAGCAGTAAAGAAAAAGGAGCTAAAGAGGCTTCTCATTCATTGTTGAGTTCAATGAAAGAAAGTGAGCTTGCATTGCCTTTTCTTGGTCATTTTAAATGTATAGCATGCATACATACATGCAAGTGACAGCTTCACTCTCATTCGTGTGCACTTCAGTTAGCTCAAAGCTGAGTCAATGCCCATTTTTGCAGTGTTAAAGGTTTTTTCACCAAAAAAGATGCCGCTAGTATCTCTTAAGAAAAGCTAGTACCTACAGGGTAAAAAGACATGTACACTTCCTCACCTGCCCATGGTGAGGAAGTGTACCATGACCTTAGCTATATCACACTTACAGTTTTATCTGCTGTTATCAAAAAACATAAACATTACACAGTCACTGGTTAAATGGATCTAAATCAAAAGAATGAGAATAGTGAGCCAAGTGGCTATTTCAGACGCAGGTAAAACAGAGCAATTCAGCTGATTTTACTACAACTTAATATATCAGACAAACTTGAAGATATCATTATGGATATTGAGATGGGAGCTCCAGGATTTTATATAAAATTGGTTAAATTCAAGTAATAAGTGCTGCATATTTATCTTTTAATAACAAGCATCGGAAACATGTCACATTTTGAGAGGTTTTATTTACAAAAAAACAAAAACAGAACTCGTTATAAGCGTGGCCAGCTCTGAAACAGCATCAAGATTTTGGCTCCCTGTAACTGGCTTGTTGAGTTTAAGCCAATTTAAACCTGATACTGTATGTTATTATGTAAGGTAACATGACATGACTAGAATATTTTGTTGGTTCGTGTTTTTGATTAATTTTGACTGACTTGTAGCTATACCTATCACATAAATGTCATGAAGTTAAAATATGATGCAAAAACATAAAATACTACTACAGTATCTCAGTACAACAAAGCTTAAGTACTGGAGTAAATATAGTTTTCATTACTGACCTCCACCCAACTGGCTGTAAAGAGAAGCCTTACTGCCATTCCTCATAAACACCCTGTAAATGTCTGCTGCTCTCCACTGCCTTCTTTTCCAAATTCAGCTAAAGCGTGTTGCTTTGTTAACACAGAGGCACTACTTTTTTGTATAAAGCTGCATTGCCATCACAATGTGACAAAGCTTGTTAAGTTTGATGGTGAGGGTACACACACACACACACACACACACACACACACACACACACACACACACACTTCCATTTCTACATTGATGCATATATGTAGAAGACATGTACACAAGAATGCACTACAGATATGAGAGGTAAACACTGAGTCAGTAGGAACAGACATACACTCCACTCTAGGCTGTGTCTCAGTCCCCACCAAGGACAGTGTATCCTGGATGTGTGATGTAATGGTTGGCTTGCTCTCAGCAGTCACAACGACGCCTGTCACTATTCCAGACTTGCCAGTAAACAAACCATCTGTGTGCTGGTCGCTTTACTAGCACTACTATGACATTTCATAATAAGAAATAAAACCAGAAACTACAAAGGTCAAATAAAGCTGGTGTTATTCTAATGTTCTGTCACAATCTGCCCTGACCATAGCGCCTCACATGTTAGTAACCAGTATGTGCAAATCACTCTAAACCTCACTGGTTCCTGTTGAAAATATAAATCTGTTAAATGTGTCAAAATGTGCATTTTTTAAAAAGGCTTACTACTTTTATATAACAAGTGGAAAATAGCACATTTATTGATGACTGTTTTCAGCTGTGTATAAATATAAATGCAGTCAGCTAGTATGGTGTATGTGGGATGTGACTCACTGAGTTTCTTACAACAATGGAGCTCTATCACATGGGCCTTAGATAAACATAAGTGCAAAGTTTAAGTCATTGGTAAAAATATAAATCTGCATTTCTTATTAAAAGTCAGTGTTTTTTCTTTTATTCGGTCTGTTGATGCCAACTAAATACTGATCAGAAGTATTACTTGTAGCACTATTACTGTTTCCTAGTACTTAGGAAACAGTATTAGCATTCACTCTGTATGTTTTTTTCTACTTGAAAAAAAATTGCTTAAATCTACTTTTAGTTTGGATTTGGTCTCCACCAAGTCCCCGAGAAAAGATCTGGTTCTTTAGCTACAAATTAGTCTTCTATGTTTAAGTAAGTGTGCCATAAAAGCACAGACTAAAACAGTGATCAGTCTCACTTCACTTTAAACATACAGTTTGTGTGTCTCAGTGACCCTTGAAATTAAAGTTATAGCTCTCTCCTTTGAATGGTGGTCTAAAAGTAGCTTTTCAGATTCGATCCATAATGGCTGCTGAGTTGTCAGACTGTTTCTTGATTGGTTCTAGAAGGTTTTTGATTTCACTCAATGTTCTTTAAAAAAAAAATCCTGTCCTGTTTGGCACCTTCTGCAAGGGGGTGTTAATAAAACGATAGAGTTGGTGTGCTTTATGTTCTTTCATTCTCAATAGACCCCGTCTGGTCAGTGTTATCAAAGAAATATTAAGTATTGGTTTTAAATTGTTGTTTCAATCAACACATGGTCAACTATGGCAATTAGTGCTTTTAAATTCCGTTACAATGAAATTGTATAGTAACAGGCGAATCATGTGTGATTGAGATCAGTGTGCACACTCAGTGACTATGTTTACATTCGTGCAGTTCAATGTAGAGTTGTCCTGTGGATTGTGATAACAGGTTTGAGCCCAACTACTGCTCCCCTCTCAAATACATCTTCAAGCTGTGACCATAATTTATCCTTCCTTTATCCTAAGTCTTTCATCCTGTCCAGAGTTCCCTTTTAATTCCTCCCTAATCAGCTTAATTGCTGATGAACAGTTAACATATGAGTATACTGTGTACACCTATATGGTGATGTGCTGAGCAGTTTAGTGACTGCTGAAGTGATCAAAAAGCTCTCCAGTGGCTGGACCATTAGGATGGATTAGATTCTTGAGTTCCTCAAGGCTCTGGATGTTGCCTTGATTGCCTCTACAGAATTGAATGGGAATCGAAGACAGTGTCTCTGGATTAGAAGACCAGCAGGTTGTCTGCCAATCAAGGATCCCTTCCGTTATCAATGATGACATATTTTCTAAAATTTTCTAAAAATATAATAAAATACCATCAAAAAAGAGGCAGTAGATTATTCACCGACTCTGTGAGATATTCCTCTTTAAGAACTTTTTTATTCAACTGCAATAGCCTTCAGGTTCATACTGAAGACATGTGAGGGCAAGAAAACTGACCTCAGCTGTTTAAGGTCAAAGTCATGAAATGGGAGATGGAATCTTTGGACAAGCTGGAGGTACGCTATAAAGCTTACATATAGTTTACACACAGTGTGCTCGTTACCTTGCACTGTTTTATAATGAGGCAAATTCATGGACATATTACAGTGCAGCCTCCTGCAGTAACACATGGGATCATATCGGTGGGTTGTGTCATCCACGTGGAATAAGCCAGCTGTCACAGGAAGGGCAAAGAATCATATGCTCTCACACAAAGGCCACATTCAGACGAAGGCATTGTTGTTGCCTATTCTTGCTCTGCTTTGGGCCATTATGGTGGTTTATGACTGCTTAAATAATGTCCTGGTGGTTATTCTGGTTACTTGAATAATACATAGCGTTATGAAAACTGGTAGTCAGCACTTGTACTTTTCTGTTTGCCTTAACTAAGCCAGCAAAAGTATTCTGGTGTCATCTGCCAGAGGGGTTGAAGGTCTGCTTTTTGTAGTGTTTGACCTCATGGTCAGAGATCCACTGCCGCATGGGTCAGGTTGCAGGCACCATTGCGCAGGTGGATGTGACGGCTTAAAGCAGGGAAAATCCTAAATCATAATGTCTGACTAAATTCAAAAAAACTGCATGTTCCTCTTTTTACCACTGGGGTTGTATTCAGTGAACTTTGCCAATTGCCTTGCGTCTTTTTCTTGGCTTCTAACAAGGGTGAGATAATGGAGGGAGTGTTCTGTTAGGGTGAAGGACAGGAAACTCTTTAGCAATGAAGTAATGGCAATTTCAAAGTAAAGCAAGGTGTCAGCAGCCCGTAGAAAATCTCACATGTTGTTGATCATATTATTTAGGCATGTAACTTTAAGAGGATGTGAATACACCCAATAAAAGTATTTGAATTCCAGAATTTAGTTTATTAGGTTTCCTAAACATTCCGGCTATTCTGGATTTTCTGAGGACTTACCACTTTGGTCAGAAATGTGACACTTAGACCTCTGGTGCAGAGACTATTCTGACATAGTCGATGTTTTATTCAAATACTAAAAGAAATAAT